TCTCTAGAAATACAAACTTCTGGGATCCAATCCAGTACCTCCAGATGACAGGAAACACTATCAGTTTTTATCTTTCACTCCACCAAATGATGGCTCTTAATTGAAATTCTATTGTAACCTTAGGATGAAAGTAAGAAATCACTAAAGATCATTTTATTTTCTTTTTGAGAAAAAAAAAACCAGCAGAAGTGATTCAAAAGAAATAAATCAAGAAAGCACTCAGAATTCCTTGATGCTAATGGACCCAAGAACCCATCCTATAGCCAGAGGGAATTTTTCCTTGCTAGAAAGGAGATACAAATCCCAAATCCCTAAGCAGGTCAAAGAAACTGAGAGTTGCTTTAGAGCTACTTTAATATCCCAAGAGATTGACTGAAGATATGGAAGATACAAGATTTGGGTCTCAAGAAGAAATACAAGGAAATGAAAATAATGATGATGATGATGATACTACAGGGTGGGTAGAATCTGAAATAAGTTAAAAAGAAAAGAAATCCATAGAGATTTATGAACACCAAAAATAAAGCTTCTCTTGAAGTAGCATTTTAAGGACCAGAAAGGATTAAAACAAAGAAGAAAAATGGGATTTCATATAATCTCAATAAAAATGGAATCACTAGTTCCATAGGAACTAGAGAGGACCTGAGAGGTCATTATTCAAGAATAAAAAGCCTTTCATTTCACAAATAAGAAAATTAAGGTCCAGAAAAGTTAAGGCTGCCCTTCCAGCCTTTTGATTCCCAAGGATGTGCTGAAGTACTTTTACTTTTTCAGTTATTTCACATGGCAGCTCATTTTATCCTCAAAATAACTTTGTGAAGTGGATAGTGCAAGTATCATTAACTCTATCATTATACAGGAGAAGGAAACTGAGACACAAAGAGTTGGAATGACTTGGCAAGGATTACACAAGTAATTAATGTACGGGGTGGGGGACACAAATCTTCACTATTGTGTAAAGTCTATCTTTTCATTCAACAGTAATTCAGCCATCATTTATGCCAACTATGTTCCAGACACTGCTGGGCTCTATAGGTATAAAGACAGAAATGTAATCATTAATTAAAAGGCTCTTTATTGCAATAGTCCAAATGATGAGATCCTGAACTAGAATGGCAGCCACGTAAGTGGAAAGAAGGAGACAGAAGCAAAAGACATAGAGTTGAGAAGCTTTGGCAACTAATTGGATATAAGGGATAAGAGAAACAAAAGAGTTAAGAATAACCCTAAGGTTGAGAACCTGGGGATAAGAAGACTGGTGCTGCTTTCAAAAGAAATAGGGAAATTAAGAAGAGGGGAAGATTAGGGGCTGGGGTGGTAATGGGAGAGACATAGTTCTGTTTTAAACATGTTGAGTTTGAGGTGCCTACAGGACATACATTTGGAGATATCTGATAAGTAGCTAATGATGTAGGACTGGAGTTCAGAAGAGAGAAGGGACTAGATAGGTAGATCTAGGAGTCAATTGTATTGAGATGATAGTTGAATCCATGAGAGATAATGAAATTACCAAGAAAGAGTGCAAAGAAAAAAGCAACGAGGGATTAAGACAGAGCGCTGAGGTGATGATCCAGTTAAAAAAAAAAAGATGAAGAAAGAATAGCTAAATAGGTATGAGGACAACCCAGAGAAAATGGTATTATAAAAAGCCCAGGAAGGAAAGAGAGTCCAAGAGAAAAGGGCTGGTCAACAATATGAAAGAAAAAGTCATAAGATTGGTCAGTTAAGAGATCATTGGTAAACTTGGAGAGAACAGTCTCAGTTGTGTTGAGGTAAGAAACCAGATATCAAAGGGTTAAGAAATGAATGCGATGTGAGAAAGTAGAGATAATGAGCATAGAGAGCTTTTCCCTCAGAATTTGACTATAAAAGGGAAAAGAGATGTTCACTGTAGTTTGGCAAGATGTTAGGATCAAAGGGATTTTTTAAGGGATGTTAAGATCTGGGTATAGTATTAGGGAAGTAGCTAGTTGATAAAGAAAAATTGACAATTAGAGAGAGAAAAGAAATGAGTGAAGGGGCAACCTCCAAAAAGACCTGGGAAGAGACAGGATCAAAGACAGAAGTAAGAGGAGCTGGCACATGCAAAAAGATGAGGCACCTCTTCCTCTGGTAATGGAACAAAGGAGGAGAGGCTATGCGATGATTTTGAGGTGACAATGCATAGGGTGAAGAAAAGAGGAGGCTCTCAATGGATGGTGTCACTTTTTTTTTTTTCAGCAAAGTTCTTGGTAAAGTCCTGTGGGGGGGTAGAATGGGAGATGCCATAAATGTCTTGAAAAGAGAAGAAATTATTTTGAACAGATATTTCCCTATGCTTCTGATCCATAGATCCATGTGCAGGATGTAGCTGCATCTCTTCCCTTTCCCTTAACTCAGAGATCTCAGGAGAAGCTTTAGCAAGGCTACTCAGAGTAATTCACATAGCCTGGTCAGGATTTCCAGAGGGAAATGAGAGTCAGAGAAGCAACTGGAATGGGGGAAGAGATGCAGTACCAGTGTGCAAGAGTAAAACTCTAAGGCCTTTCTCCTTGCTGGGGGCCCAATGTAGGGTAAATATTATAAGTCATGTAGATTATACTGGTCCCTGGGAGAAGACCCACAAGAATGGGGAGCGGGTCCTGACTTACTGATTCATATGTGAGTCTCTTCTGTATTTATTTGCTTTTTGTGGGGTTTTTTTTTAATCGGACCAGTGATTAAACTGGTGTAAGGGGCTGCTGATGAGGAAGGTCAATGAAGTTGGGCACCTGTTCTGCAACTTAAAGTCTTAAAAATTTGCTTGGAGACACTGAGAAATTAAGTGACTTGCCTGGAGCCACATAGTATATTTAAGAGGCAGAAACTGAAGCCTGGTCTTTCTGACCCTGAGTCCAACTTTCCACCCACTACACCATCCTACTTTTCTGTGTTCTTTGCTATATAAAACAAACTTGGTCTATGTTTTCAAGCCTTGTTAGGGTGAGTGCATATAAAGAGATCTGATGGCATTCCTTAGAGGCAATGCCATACACTAAAGTTCCCTAGTTCCAACCTGGTAGATGCAAAAGAGCCAGGGAAGTTTAGAGGTCCCCAAAGTATACTCTGATCCTTTGTGTCAAGAGAAAACCTTTGATACATTAATCACATTATGCTCTCTCTCTCACACACACAGTATGCAGTATAATCACTATGAATCTGGAACCCCATGAACCCCAATTTGAAACAGAGTCTCTAAGAAAGAGACAAATGAAATTGAGATACATGTGTCCATGGTTCAATTTCTCAAGGTGGTTTAACATGCATTGCATGAGAGTTCAGTCCAAAATTGGGCCCCCATAAGGGGGCCAGTTCAAAACTGGCTCAGTTTGGGATTTGGGGGTACAGCTTTATGTGCCCTTCAAAGAGTAGGTGTTCCCAAGGGGTGCCAATCAACCATGACTGGTCAACATACTAGGAGGTAAACCATATTAAAATGAGGTATTGAGTATGTGCTTTAGATCACAGTCCACAGGGGCCCGCCATCAAAGGAAACACTACCCCAAGTCTTGGAAGTCTGTCTCCACCCAAACCTGAGTAAGATAAAATCAATTCAGGCCTGGATTGGAATTGACCAAAATAAGAAGATTCAATGCAATCTCATTATCAGAGATGTCCTTCTGAAGAACTTTGGTCAGAAGGCTGGCAGGAGGGGAGCTCTGAATCTCCAAGACACAGATTACCAACAGTAATCATTTTTAACATCACATTATATAGTTGTTCTCTGGGATATTTCCATTAGACTAGCATGTCTTTCTTTTTCATTTTCTTCAGTTATTTTAACTAAAGATATAAAGTCCTCATACATATGTCTCTTTTCTTTCAGTAGATTTGATTAATATTCGTATTATTCCCCTTGATTTAAAGGATTGAAAACTCTTTAACGTAAGTTTGTCTTAACAACTTTCCAGATCCTTAATGCTGAGAACAGGGTGTATATTCAGAGAGAGGAAAATAAAAAGATTTTCACAACATATAAATGCAAGTTTATTTCAGCAGTCCAAGCTCAACATCTGTATTGAAAGATTCAGCTTTGAATTTGAAAAATATCAAGTAAAGATGGTCTCAGCATGAGAAATGCCTGTCAATTTTCCACATACAATAGTTGCTTTCTCTTTTAATATGTTATAGAAGGTGTTTTTCCAGTAATTTTTTTTCATGGTTATGCTTCTACAAAAGATATTTGGTAGTAACTGTTAACATTGATAACAGGTACAAATAGCGAAAACAAGTTATAAGATTATAGCATTTAAACTTTTTTTTTTAAGAGGTTAAGTGACTTGCCCAGAGTCATACAGCTAGGAAGTATTATGTGTCTGAGGCTGGATTTGAACTGAGGTTCTCCTGCCACCAAGACCAGTGCTCTATCCACTGCACCACCTAGCTGCTCCAACACTTAAACTTTTTAAGGTTATAACATAGTTAAAATCTTTCTCAGGTTGCTTATAGACTCCACGTTTTGATTCTTCCTATTTCTCAACTGAAGTCTGAAAATTTACACCAACATTCTTCTTATCCCACAGGTGGTTAATGATTTTATGTAAAATTAATCAGAATTTGGATCAATTTAAAGATGTTACAGTATGGTATCTTCTGGCAAAAGTGATCATATGTTTCAAACAAGAAATCAGAACACATGGTATGACAAAGGATATTCCTTTTGAAAATTCACATTAAAGATTCATTTTGGGGGCAGTTAGGTGGGGCAGTGGATAGAGTACCGGCCCTGAAGTCAGGAGGACCTCAGACCAAACACTTGACACTTACTAGCTATGTGACTCTGGGCAAGTCGCTTAACCCCAATTGCCTAAAAAAAAAAAAGATTCATTTTCTTTTTTGGAAATGAGGACTATCCTAGAAAATTCAGGAAACCTCTTTATATCTAAAATAGCTTATGATAGTGTGATTTCTATACTTAACAACCAGTGGGTTAACAATACTGGAGGGTTGGGGAGGCCATAGGCTTGACCATGTTGACCACGATGAGTTTACCCCTCAACCCCAAACCGTTCCTGAATGGACTGACAGGGAAGCCGGTGATGGTGAAGCTTAAGTGGGGAATGGAGTACAAAGGTTACCTGGTCTCTGTGGATGGCTACATGAACATGCAACTTGCAAATACAGAAGAATACATAGATGGGGCATTGTCTGGACACCTTGGTGAAGTTTTAATAAGGTGCAATAATATCCTTTACATCAGAGGTGTCGAAGAAGAGGAAGAAGATGGGGAAATGAGAGAATAACATCTTTTCTGGGGTGGGGTGGGGTGGGGTAGGGATTTCTTTTGTATATTTCTAGAAATATACACAATTTCTAGAAATGTGCACGATTCAAACACTCAAATGAATCTGTGATCTCTTTGATTTCAGAGTTCTCTCCAGTGATGCAAATTGTAACCCTTCTACGTCTGCTCATCCTGCACATTGTCCATTTTCTCCTGTAAGTTCAACAGAAGGGGTCCAATTAACGTGCTTTCCTTATTTTCTTTTAACACCTCAAGGGTAACAGTGAAACACTTTGACTAACCGTTTTCCATACCTTGCCCTAACAACATTGGCAGCCCATCATTTTTCCTATGGTACATTTCCTTAATGACATCTTTTATTCTTTTACTTCAAAATGGTTCCTTGGTTACTTATAATAGCCTGATCATTTATACTATGTGCTTCTCCTTTGCCCTCTTTGCAATATTCACTTTTAGTTCTCAGAAACCATTGTATTATATTTCATAGCCATACAGCAATACCTTTATGTCCTCAATGGTAAACAGTTTGCTACAGTAATCTTTATAAATCTTTTTTATTTTTCCTCTATTTGTTGTCCTCCTTCCATTTTCACCCTTAAATGCCTTTAGGCTGATTTTACTTAGCTAGAGCCAAGTTTTCTACAAACTAGATTTATCCACCACTGCTTCTCCATTTTAGGATGTGATCATCCAGCATTCTTCTCTGTAAGATTTGAGAATTGAATCTGTATTCTAAATTGATGTTGCCTATGGCCACCATCTCTCCACTTGGAAAACCAAATGTTTGCTAAGATGTTTTCTGGGCTCTTTTGGTAATGTTGTAGTAATCGCTATACATTGGTTTAATCTCTATATAAAATTATTATAAGTGTTAATGTCATTTCTGTCATCCCACTTTTCATTACTAATTACTTATTTTAAAAGTTCAGGATTGAGTTGTTTCAATCTGTTTATGACTGGTTTTTTTTTCCAGTATTTTCTTCTTTTTCTTCTGATTTTGATCCTTCACAAAATCCTAATCTAATGTTTCATTGTGTTCTAGGTTGACCTTCAATTCTTATAGTCTATGCCAGTAGAATACCAACTCTGGCATGTTCTATCAGGTTGGAAAAGCTTTGAGTATATGCCCCAGCAATAAAACCATCTGCTTTCAGGAGAACAACCTAATTAATTATGGATAGGCTCATCACCAATAGGCTGGCTATTTAGTGGTGATTTTTTTGGCAATGGAAGCCCATAAAATAAAGATAAATACAAAATAGGTTCAAAAAAATCTCAGAGGACCAATGACTAATAATTTATTGAAAGTACTCAGTAGATAAGAAAGCTTAGAAAATATTGGCTAAAAATTGATAGCATATAACTTATAAGATGCTAGAAGAATATAAAATGCTTGAATCGGACTCAGACAAATGAAAATAATTGTATTAATTTTTGTGGTCATAATAATAATGATGGTGGATTCAAGGGTTTTGTAAAACTTAGAGTGTTACATGAATGCAAATTATTATTATCATTAGATTTCTTCCCCCCCAGAAAATAAAACCCTGTAGACAGAGCACAGGCCCTGGAGTCAGGAGGACCTGGGTTCAAATCTGGCCTCAGACACTTGACACTTTTTAGCTGTGTGCCCCGGGCAAGTCACTTCACCCCATTGCCTAGCTAAAAAAATAAAAATAAAACCCTTTAAAGTTTTTATTACTGATAAGTTAGTGAGAATGATAGGAGGTAATATAGTCTTATTTCTATAACACTAGGTCTTGAGACCTAATTTGTTTTCCTAGTTCTGCCTGTTGGCAGGGGGAAAATTGTGAATTTAGCTTTAAAACTCTGTTCTTCTTTAACATTCCTTACTGGATATATGTTGCAGCATGCTCACACCCACCATGTGCCTGTCCATTGCCTGATACGTATCTTCTATTATTTGGAGACCATAATTATCCATGTCTTGCAGCCATATAACAACACTGATAGAGTAATTTTATTAGATAGAACTTTGTTTCCAGAAGAAGATTGAGGGTCATTAAAGGAATTTTCAATTTCCTGAAAGCAAATCAGTCTGCTCTTCTCTCCTTTTTAGTTCTGGCTCAACTTGTCCATTTATGCTGTCTGTCCCAGGTATACATACTATTAGATGAGCCATCTGAAGTGACCATCCAATTGTATGCTATAATCCAGGCAATAGTCATTCTCCTATATTTGGTCTTTCTGTATGAATGATGAGACTATACTCTACTGAATGGTAACGAATTTCTCCCAGGAGGCTTTGCAGTGTTTCAGGGCTTGATGCCACCAGCACAATGTGGTAACAGATGCCAAGAGACTCTCTTCCAGGGCTTGATACAAACAACACAATGTTATTTGAAAACAGGAGCATTTGGAGTAGGAATTCACCCTCCACATGAAATCCTTCTTTAATTTGGAGTCCATAATGGAGCTCCTCTACTACGGTGGCTAACACCTTTGGCAAACATACATCTTGATACTATGCCTTGCTTGATATTTATGTGCAGAAGTCATTGCACAATGTCATTTGTTATTTAGGACACTGCATCTTTCAAGGGATCTTGAATAATTTTGATGTATGTGTAGCACATACTCTAAGGCAACTATCTCAACTCACACTCCCATTGATGAGTGGGGTCCTTAGATCATGTCTACTACATCCTCTTGGGGCTCTAAGGATATCCTTGATGGGCTGGAAGTTGACTTTTCTAGTGCTATGGCCCATAAGCCCCTGTGCTTTCTGCCATGATTATCAGTTGATATCACTTAATCATAGCCAATTAGCTTTTCGAAAGGTGTATTTACTAAGTGAGTATAGTACAACACATCACCCCCAAAAGTTTGAGACACATTCTCCCACAAATATGTACAGAGTTAGCGGAAAGTGGGCTCAAGCTTAGAGAACACTTGTCACAAAGGGGTAAGTCATAGTTCCTGCAAATCCTTTTTATTGAAATCCTCAAAATATTCCCCTTAGATATGGAATAGCTTTTCTATTGGGATCTTTGTACAATTTTAAATCTGATCTCCTTATCTCATCTAATTTCTCCATGGCTTTCATTGCTGATCTGGAGATACTGCTATGATGTGTAGAGGGAGCCCTAAGTACTCTATACCCTTTAAAACTCAGAAGCTTCTCCTTTGGCCAAGGCAAGGATGAGGATAGATGCAGCTAATGCCAAGGTGCTCTTTCCCTTCAAATAATTTCTCCTCAGGAATTTGTCTGGAATGCTCTTTCCTGGCTCACTACTCACTCAGATCTCCTTGGTTTTGAACTAGTTCCTGGTTTTATACAAGATACCCATCATATGACCAACTAGTCCAGTCAATCAGAATAGACTTCCTATCAATGTCATTCCAATTTATGAAGGACTTTTTTGTATTTAGTCCAAAGCCTATGATTTATTGATTCAAAAGAGAGATGTTTTCATCTAGTTATTTGTTATTTATGAAACTTTCTTTCAAAGGATTTTGAATGATTTTGATTGGGGTTTAGCATCTTGACACATACTTTAAATGGAGCAGAGTAAATTGATTGATTTATTCAATTAATCCCTACCCTTACATGTGGATGGGAGACACCTTATTGGAAGAGACATTAAGTACTGTTTATATTCTAAACCAGTGTTGCCTTGACCTACCATTTCTTTCCGCTGGGCAAGGACGTCAAGTATTTTTTGACAAAGGAACTTTTGAGGGACTTTTTTTGTCTCCTTGCTATGGCAATACTCCTGTATAAAATTATTACAACAGACACTGCTATGATTTAACTCCTCTAGCAATACGCCCCCTATTGGCCATTGGACAAAGACATCATATTTAAAGTACCAGGAGTCAAATGAAAGTTCATAGATGGCCTAAAAACTGTGTGATTCTCAGTACCCTGTACTCTCTCTTCCTCTACCACTCAGAAACAGAAGGGAGCCACACAGAACAGAAGGTCATTTTACACTTTGCTTCATGACATGGATTGATATAGTGAAAAAATTCATCACCAAGCGGCCAGCATACCAGAAATGAGCCTATTTGTACTTAACTAAATTGGTCTATAGAAAGCAGACCTACTCTATTGCCAGACCATATTGCAGACTTTCAAGTATGGTGGAGACTGACAGAGCTTGGATTTTGCTGGAATAGTATCAGATACCCCAGCCTCACCTCCACACTGCAGTACAACATCAAAGTAGGTCTTTATGGAGGAGCACTGCTTACTTCAGAATTTAAAATTCTTTCTGAGCAATGTATAAGGTAGGTAATACAGCAACAAATACTAAAGAAGTATTTATACTAATAAGATTATATTAATAATAATTATCCTATTATATTATCAATAATATTACACTAAAGTATAACATTAATAGCATGTAGCATAATATTAATTATTAATTAATATTAATAAAAATTTTGTGTTTAGTCTTTCCTCCACTAAAGTATATCATAATTACTTATGTGATACCTTAAATTTGTTTATTAGTAATTTCATGTAGGAATTATCTCCCCATTAGGAATATAATCTTCTTAAGAGTAAAATTTTTCCTCTGTACCTTGTGTACCTAACTCTAACTAGACACTTAAATAAATGCATATTGAAAACAACCATCACCATCACAACCCACTGTAGAGATAAATCTGGTCTTAGCACATTATAATAGTAAGAGCTCTTTTGACCAAGAACATTATTTCACTCTATTGTTAGTATAAAAATTTAGCTGAAAAACATATTCAGAGGTATCCTTTTAAAAACAAAAACCCTTGATAAATGTAGAGACCAAGTAATAGAAAAACCTCATTTCAAGCCAAATGTTTGACATTTGAATACTATGAAATTAAACTAGGAATAAAATTTTTATTAAAAAAAAGTAAAAGGAACCTTTTTTTAAAGGTTGAAAATGGAACCCTGTGAAAGAACTATATCAATTAGAATAACAAATGAAATTTAAATGAAACTCCATTTCTTGTTGCAAGAGAGAGAGACTGTATTACATCAGTACA